GATTGATAACGCATCCACCTAAAATTCCCTCTTAAAAAAGAAAGGAATCTCATGATATTCCTTGGTGTTGCAGCTTATCTTCTACAAGGCAAGTAATTGATAGACATATGTTGATGTAGTTGCTTTTTACACTCTGAGCAATGTTTGTCTGTCTGGCCATCCAATGAACACGTCTAGATGACTATAATCCTCCTCGGGAATGTAAATAGAACCCACTTTCTCATGCTTGTTAGTTTGTAAAACTCAATTCTCTTGGTATTCAATGTTCGTTATTATTATTATTATTAATGGTTTGCTTTTATGAGCTATATTAAAATATGTGTACACAAGGACAGCCTTCGTGTGCATCCACTTTGGATTGGAATGCAGAAAACTGCGAGACTGTTGGGATACCAAATCTTTCATGAATATGTTTATTTTCACAATTTTCTTGGACATATGATTGATCTTTGCATGGTGAAAGTTTTTCTTGAGACTGCAAAAGGTAGAGATGGTCAACTTCACTAATACTTTTGCATTCTCTAGTCTTTTTATTTCAGAAAAAAAGAGAAATCAAAAATATTAGTGAGTTGATCATCTCTACCAAAACCTTCTGGAATGGTACTGAAGTTGATGATGGAAAGGAATTTAAAGTTGTGGATATATATTAGGCTTTATGGGTTGATCAACCCCATCCGATTACTCCAGACAGCACTCTTGAGGAAATGAAGGAGTTTGAAATATGGGATCGGTCAAACCGTATAAGTATGTTGGTTATGGAACAAGCCATTCTAAAGATTTTTTTGGGACACAATGTCCGATGAGATCACAACAATTAGAGATTTTTTTCATTTTCTAGAACAACATTTCGCCAAAAGTAATAAGATCGAGGCATGTACACTTCTATCGACTCATGTTTCTATAAGCTATAAAAAAAATAGAAACATGAGAGAGTACATAATAGAGATATCACATGTGCATGTAAAACTCAAGGCATAGGAGTGGAATTGTCAAAAGAAATACTTATGTACTTTGTTTTGATTTATCTTCCACAACAGTTCAATCCTTTTAAGGTGACATACAACTGTCAAAAAAAATCTTGAAATCTGAATGAGCTCATTTTACATTGTGTTCAGGATGAGGAAATGCTCAAGTATGAGAGGACAAAGAGTGTTCATTTCGCAGTGATCTCAAATGATAAGAATAATAAGAAAAAAATAGGTAAATCTGTCGCAGCTCCAGTACAATAGAAGAAGTAACAGAAGGTTCAGACCGAAAATGTTTGTTTCTTCTATAAAGGTCCAAGACACCAGAAGAAGTATTGCACTAACTATCATGCGTGGCACGCAAAGAAATGTATGTTTTTTTTTAATTTCCTTTGTTATGAAGTTAATTTAACTTTTGTATCTACACACACCTAGTTGATAAATTCTGGTGCCACAACTCACATCAATGTGTCTATGCAAGCTTGCCTCTATTTTCACAAGCTAAGTGATGGTGCTAGATTCATTTATGTGGGCGATGGCAAACTAGTCAAGGTGGAAACAATTGACAAATTTAGATTATTGTTAAGAACTGAATATTATTTGGATTTATAAGAGACTTTTATTGTACGTCGTTTAGACAAAATGTGATTTATATTGCTGTATTAGACAAATTTGGTTATTCATGTTCATTTGGAAATAAAAAAAATTTCTTTTTCTTAATTCAAATTTGGTTGGTTCTCGCTCTTTATCAGTGCATGATAATCTTTATTTACTTGATACAATTGCTTCTTATAATGAATCTTTACATGTTGGTACAAGAGGTATAAAAAAAAATTAACCAAGGAGAATTCCACTTCTTTATGGCACAAGAGATTATGTCACATCTCCCAACGAAAAATTGAAAACTTGTGTTAAAAAAAATTCTAGATCCCTCTTATATTTTAGATTTTGACATATGTGTCTATTTTATTAAGAAAAAACATACAAATATTAAGATGTTAAGTACCAACAGGGATATGGACATATTAGAACTAATTCATACAGATATTTGTGGACTCTTATCTGAGGCTTTTTGGAATAGTCAACAATATTTAATAATATTTATAGATGGTTATTCAAGATATAACTATCTATATCTTATTTATGAGAAGTCTCAGTCCTTGGATGTGTTCAAGAGTTTTAAAACAGAAGTTAAGAACCAGCTCAATAAAAAGATTAAGGTTGTTAGATCTAACCGTGGTAGTGAATATTATGGTAGATATGACGGATCAGGTGAATAGCGTTCAGGACCATTTTCTCGATTCCTGGATGAATGGAGCATCATCCCACGGTACATCATGCAAAGTTCTCCTAACATGGATGGTGTTGCTGAAATGTGAAATATAACACTTAAAGATATGGTGAGGAGTATGATTAGTTATTACAGAGTCCAGTGACAAAAGTTTGCAACTATATTCCATGACTGGATATCTCATAATAAGCTACAAACTCTACTGCGGTGTAGAAGAGGTTATTAACTAAAGAGATACGACTTTGGACTATAGTTAGCTCAGCACCAATCAAGAATCCCCAAGGAATTCCAAGAATTCTTGTTATACGCTTGTTCCAACCCTCAACTCTCTTTTCTAGGTTTAGAGATATTGAATCAATCGGTTATAAGTGTTTGTTTAACACTCTTTCAAGAAATAACTCCCACAATAAGCAAGTAAATATAGGCTGACGTATATTTTATGTTTTCTTGACATCTGGTAAAATCAAAATCAAAAGAACCAATGATCTCCAAGTGATCTAACCTCTTGTACGTGAGCATATAACCTTTTATTTTTTATAGATACTGCATGACATGTTTGACTGCTTTCTAGTGATCTATACCTGGATTGCTTAAATATCTACTTACCATCCCAATAATGTACGCAATATCTCCACGCATATAAATCTATGCATACATAAGACTCCCTACAGCAGAAGCATTAATGCATCGAGTTTAAGTATTGGCTTGTAATATGCATATATTATTTTTGTAATATTCTTATTTTATTATGAACGAAATGAAAATTGTAAAAATTTGTCGATATAAAAGGCAGTTATGGTCCCCGAATCACAAGGTTATCATTTTTATTTTTCTAAAATCTCCTCATCATAAAAAAACTAGTTTTAAGGCACTGTGTTAATTCGAAAAATCCTACCACCGAACGCGAACAATTTTATGCGATGGATTCAAATACGCTTCCATTTATATTTCTCATTAATTCAGTACGAAAATGTATGTTTAACTTTTACAGATCTGAGGATTTGAAAAAAAAATTATTCTAACAATATGTTCTGTTAGCTATATTTTTTAAGGAATTTTTATTACATTTTGTGTGAAATGTATAGATGCGTAGCTACAGTATTAATGTATCTTTTTCGTAAAAAAATTTCTATATAATGTCCACGAATAGTTGCACTTTTTAAAAATTTTGTACAAAAGTATACTTTAACAAGTTAAATGCCATCAAATTATTTCAAGATCTATTTTTTAATTGTTCTAAGATTTTTTCAATAAAAGAAAAATAAAAAAATAGATGGCTTGTTCTCAATTAATTTCATCTTTACTATTTACCTAGTTACATAAAAAATTAATAAATTTATGAAGAATTCATATATGAATGATTAAGACAACTTGGTGTTTGACATTGACAAAAGAATATAACTTAACTCTTCAGTCTTGTATTTTTGAAGACTTACATTAACGATGTTATATTGGTTAATAATGAAGGATAGTTTGACTTTTTGATGAAAGTTATAGTTACTCTATTAAATTAATATATATATATATATTTTATAGAGATAGAGATGTACAACGTATTTTTCTTTGTTGCATTAATCCTTCTGGATATAGAATAATTGAATTGCCAAAACTATAGGAATTTAAAATATTTCTCTTTGAAGGGCTTTTGCTAGTGTTGTTTTTAACGTTTATCAAATCTTACGATGTTTATGTCAATTGAACTGAATGAAAATCATAACTATTGGTTACACTATGCAAACTTATCATTTTCTTAATAATGTTGGTGTACATTGAGACTATTGATATTGTTGAAGACTTTTGTGAACTAATTGGTGATCGAATTATTTTTAACGTTAAATTTTATATTGAATAAGTAAGATTTCTTATAAAATAATTAAAATTACTTATTTAGGACTCCAGTTAACCATAAAAAAGTTTCTAACAAATTCATATATATATTTAGGTCTCTACCGAGGAAAATTGAATTTAATTTTTGAACTTTTAATTGATTGGCTAAATCTAATTGATCCACACTCAACAATATTATTTTTAGTCAACTCGTGTGCTTAAATTGTAAAATTATTCTCTTTTAGAAATAGCTTTGTTTAAATATTATTTATATGTTTAATTATTTAACATCTAAGTATGATTTTTGTATTTTTATTCTTAATTATTTAACTATTGTAACAAAACTAAAAATATTAAATCATTATGAATATAAAAAAATAAATAAAAATTTATTATGATAATAGTTTTTTTGATTGGTTATAAAAAAATTTATGATTATATATATTTATTAATTTTATTTTAATTATTATCAAATTTAATCATGATTTGGTCAATAATAGAATATATTTAAAATTCTAACATTTTTTAAATGATGATTTGTGTTATTATATTAGTATAAAGAGTTTTCGCAATAAACTTTTTCTATTATTTAATTATTATTTTTTCTGTGATTGTTGAAATTTAATGCATTTAAAAAGTAAATGTAAAATAATACTTTAAAATATTTTAAAAATTATTTTAAAGTATTTGATATGATCAAATATCATAAGTAGAAAAAATTCATTGAAAATTAAGAAATTATAAAAAAAAATGATTTTATAATTATAATTAGAAAAAATTGGATTGCTTCAATGGGCCGAACCCAAATGGAGAACAATTTGGATCAGGGAATTATGCAAGAGAGACGAACGAGCCAGCCTTGTTGGGTCCTGTCAATCAGTATATATATTCATCTTCTTTGTGTCTTGGGAGGTAGGGTTTATAAATTCATCATTAACCCCAAGGGATAGAACGCGCCGCCTCCCAGTAAGTCTGAACGTGGCTGTGGTTTCATATAATCTTACAACACAGATGGATGCTATGAAACCTGTTGCGAAACAGCTAGAGAAAGAAGACGACGACGACGACGACGATGAAGATGAAGGAAGCATCACGCATCATGAAGATGCAGTCCTTCCGTCGAATCAGTAATTAACCAAAACAAAATAATCTTGCTTCTTTTCTCTTTGGTGACCCTCCTATTCAGCGATCTCCTCCTTATAGGCATCAACCGTAACCTCCGGTGACCACAACCCAGGAAATACCAACTCCGGAGAAGCCTTGTCGATGTCCTTATTCGTTAGTGGTAACAGAACTTCACCCTCTCATTCTTTTCTGACAGTCCTCCTCTTTCCATCGTTCTAGGCGACTTCATTACCTCACTCTTCATCCGCCAAGAATTCACTCTGCTTTCCTTAATCCTCAATCCTTTATTGTTGTTGCTGCTGCAGTCGACATTCTGGTGGGTGTTTCCCACTCCGCCAATCGATGCCTTACACGCTGACCTTCTGGTTCTCAGATTCCATGGCCTCACCTCTTCAGCCGCTGCAGGGGATTCTTCTACTTCCTTCTTCTTGCTGGCTCTGTCATCGAGGTAATAAACAAGCAATTTCGTAGTGGTTCTTAACGGTCTTGTTGTGCTGTTTTTCCATTTTGATCTTTGACCGAGTCACATCTTAAACTTTTCCGATTCAAAAACATATCTTTTGAAAGAAAAAGTATAACATGAATGTTACTTAATCTATTTCTTTAGCAAAATGCTCTACAGTTGTTTTCGGTTGTAAATACAGCATTTGGTTGACCTATGTTTTTGTTCATATGTTTAACGAGTTCTAATACCAATTAATAAAAAAATTAAGAAAACGGAGGATGAAAAATATTGTGTATCAAGAATCCATAACTCTAGTTCTCCGAAAATACAAAAATTATACTCCGTTAAGCTATAATATCTAAGGGATTAATTATTTTGCAATTTACTTTACTTTTAATGATTCTTTAGCGTGTGATATCAGGTTTATCATTATCAGTATGTTTGAACTTTCAAATGTTTGGGTATCAACAGACCAACTTGTTAACTTCAAGAATAATTTTCGGTAAAGTTCTGTTACTCATTATAAGCCAATTTATATTTCAAAGTTGAAAAGCTACATATGGTTGTTTTATCCAATAGGTAGCGGAGAGGGTTGCCAAAAAGGAGTTGGATTCTGCTTTTGCAGTCGTTAGACCTCCAAGGCATCATGCCAAAGAAGATGAAGCTATGGGGTTCTGTTTATTTAACAATGCGGTTATTGCAACACATTTTCTGTTAAATGAAAGAGTAAGATTCAGTTTTAATTCTTTGGATACTGTTTTCTTACCCGAAATTATTAATCAGTTGCTTTTTTTGTTAGATGTGCAATTGCCTGTATGGATTTAGATTAGATGTTTCTTTTTCCATCCTTTAATAAGTTGTTTCCTTGTTAACCATATATGTTTTTCTATTTTTCGGCCAAATTTGGGTCTAAATAAGGTCTTGATTGTTTAAATAATTTGAGTATGTTATATACGATTGATTGGATTGTGAATCTCGATTCCTATGTTTGCATATAATATGTGGGAATTAAATTGTTGATTATATCAGGTTAGAGGCTTTTTAGCAGTTAAGAAGTACGGATGGATGCTAGAACTAAATTCTAGTACTCTAGCTTTCTAGCTGTCATTTTCAGTTACGTATCCCAAGTAAACTAGTATATCGATTTATATTAGTAAACTTGTATAAATTTAGTAAACTAATCTATGCATGTTGTGGTTATACTTGGTTCTTGTGGAGTATCTATGGCAGATTCTGACATTTTTTTTCCTAATTGTGTGGACGTCAATGTTTCTTCGTAGATGGTATGTATTGATTAACTGTTTAAAAAAGTATGTAATTATTAAACCTAAATAAATATAACTTAATGCAGTTATTGCAATCTGGCCTCATTTGTTAATATTGGTTGTGACGAGTATCTCGACATTTCTGCTGGTTAAAATTCAGGGTTAGGTTTAGTTGCGTTTTGCATTGACAAACGTAGATCTCAGGAATGCATCCAGTTGTATCATCTATAAATGCTATACCGTAACCGTGATCATGCACACTTTATTGATGGATAATGCATCCTCTTATTTTTCCTTAAAGAATACAAGTAACATCATGATAGTCCTTGGTGTGGCAGATTCTCTCCTACAAGGCCAGTAATTCATGGACATATGCAAACGCAATTACTTTTCACAACTAGAGTGATGTCTATCTGTCTGTCTGGCCATCCAAGAAACATATGCAGATTATTATAGTCCTTCTCGGTAGAATGCCGAATGTACGTACAGCCCACTTTCTCATGTCTGTGAGTTCCTACACTTCAATTCTGTTCATAGTCAATGCATATTTATTAGCCGCTATTGTTTGTGAGTTCCTAAACTTCAATTCCAGAACTTTGTTCTCTTGGCATTGATAGGCTTAAGCCTTTTTCTTTTTAGGTTTTGTATCATTTCTCCGTCTTGGGGTTGAGTGGGTTAGGGTTATGGAATGTTTTCATTAATTGACTTTCTCCCACTCTTTTAACGAGATATCATCTATTATTCTTGTTTATATCGCTACCATAATTGTATAAGCTATATTGTGCCTTGTTCTGTTAGAGCTTTACTTTGTTGCTCGCTAGTGGGCTTTAGAAATCACAATCTGGAAAATTAATTTGTTTTATTTGGCATTGTGAATTGTCTTGCTTTAATATTCTTACATTGCATAATTAATGAGAGGAAACATACAAGTAAAAGTTCTCTTTTTGTGTATATTGGATAATCAATTTAACGCTTTTGATGCGCAATTAAGTTGGTGGTTCATTTATAAAAGGCTTCTTTTCAATGAAATTGCTTTGATCAAGAATGGATTCAAACCTGAAGTATTTTTTTGTCATAAGCTTCTTTGGCAAGTAATGAATGTCCTTTTCATTGTGAGAGAGCAATTGAAGTTCTTCAAGCTTTATTGCGTTGAGGGATTCTTTATTTGGGAGTCTTTACAACATTTTTGTGTTGGGACAAATGGTTTGAAGGGTGTCACATAGAAAGTAAATCCTAGGGTTATGTTTGGAACAAAAGAACATCACTTGTGGAGCTTGTTAGAAAACCACACTTTGATTCATTAAGGAATGGTCAAAATCCTATTTAAATGATATAATTGAATCTACATGAAGTTTGTATGAAGTTGGAACAATCAATCTCGAATTCCAAATTTATAGAATCGAGAGTTCATTGTATTAATATTACGTGGAATTTGCTAGGACGTCAACTTTTATTTGCTTTCAATTGTTTTTTCATTATCCCATTGTCAAACTAAGTGTGAACTTTCAAATAAATTCAACAAATATTTAATTCGTTCCAACTATAGCGTGAGTTTATTATTTAGTTCTTAGTGCATAATGTTCTTAATTCTGTCCCCATAGCATGCTGCCTAAGAAATGATACAAAATTGAAAATCAACTTGTATCCTATTCTTTATTTCTAATGTTTTATTTTCTCTCCCTCTCTCTGTATCTAGTACTGTGGAAATCCAGAAGAGAGTGTCAAACAAGTACCTGCCTCCTCACCAATGTATTGCTTTCAAAATAAAAGGATCTTGCCTGGCAAATGCTACAAATTTACTATTCCATTGTGCACATTTTTTTAACTAATGCCATAAAAGTTCATCTTTTAGGTTCATTGTGATATGAAAATTGCTTGTCACCATAATATTGGAATTGTTTGTCCTGCTAATGATAATTTCTTTTTGACATGTCTAAATTATAGAATTTGCGGACTTCAGGAGACTTTTCTTGTATGAAGATGTTGGGTGAACAAGTGATGTACTCGTCTCAGAAGGAATACGTCAACATAGAATATGAAGATAGACTAAGCAGCTTACCAGAAGATCTTCGCAAGCGTATTATGTGTGTGCTCCGTATACAATATTCAGTAAGAACTTGCAGATTGTCCAAAAAGTTGAGATACACCTATGAGTCTCTTCCTACTCTTTTATTTGATTCCTTCCAATTTGCTACTGCTGAAAGTGGACCTGACAGTTTTGTGGAATTCATAGACCAGATGTTATTGCATCATGATGATTCAGATATAGCAGCCATCAAATTAAAATTATGTAGAGGAAGAGCACTCATCATCTTAAAGGCCGAATGGATTGATTTTGCTTTGAAGCATAGTGTTGAAGACCTTGTTGTTGAAGGTCTTTTTTTGGGAACAAAGAGGGTTTGGCTTGTGTCTTTTCATCCAGAACATTGAGAAGATTTTCTTTTTCCATGGAATGCTATAGTCTCAGATTGCGCTCATCCATTTATCATCCCAGTCTTAAAGAGTTGTGTCTGGGCGGTGTCATTTTTTACCGGTGAGGAGGATTTGTCAGGGGAGTTATTCTCATCGTGTCCAGTTTTGGAATCTGTGCAATTGTGGAATTGCAATCTGTCTTTTCTGAAGGTTTTGAATGTTTCTGCTCTCATACTCAAACACCTTGAAATAGACAATTGTGGCGAGCTCGAAAACATTGAGATCAATCTCCTTATGCCAAGTCTTACATCAATTATATGCAGAGGAAATCTTGCGCAAAACTATCACACCCTTCTCTACGTTATGCAGATATTCAAGTCGGAGAAGTTTACATAGATCAAATGAGTATAGAGATTCTTAGCTGCACTGCGTTAAAGTTGCTTACTGAACTCCGTAATGTTATTGTACTGGCTGTGATAATTTGTTGTGGGAGGTATATGCTTTGTCCATTTCTTCTACATATTGGTTGTTCTTTTTTTTTTTTTGGCTAAATAACTTGTTTTTTTTTTGCTCCTGATTGATGGATATTGTGTCCTCTTTGCTTTCCTTTCAAAAGCTACAAGTGGAGCCTCATGATATTCGTTGGTGTTGCAGCTTCTCTTCTACCAGGCCAGTAATGCATGGACATGCAAATGCAATTACTTTTTTCAACAATAGCAATGTCTATCTGTCTATTTGGCCGTCCAAAAAACATGTACAGATGATTATAATCTTTCTCAGTAGAATGCCGAATGTACGTAATGCACACTTTCTCATGCTTTCTAGCAGGTTTTAATTGTTAAAATACATGCTTATCATAGTTATTATTATTATTATTATTTTCGCTTTGCCAACCTACATTAAAAAATGGGCAGGCACAACGTAGACTAAACAGCTTACCAGAAGATCTTCGCAAGCATATTATGTGTACGCCTATACATTGCGCAGCATGAACTTGCAGTTTGTCCAAAAAGTGGAGGTACACCTATGAGTATCTTCCTATTCTTGTATTTGATTCCTTCCAATTTGCTGCTGCTGAAAGTGGTTGGGTTACATTCTTTTCTTAGCAATGCCATAAGGTAAACATTACTGCTTATTGCTGGGAAATTGTCCATTGGGTAAATTGGGAGTATCAATACTGAAATAATCATGCTTTTGTAGGCAACGTCATTGCCAAGGGCCAATTATTGGTTCCTGCTAGTGGTTTGTGAAACTGGAAGATTCAATTCGTGGTTGGCTACCTTTTATGTGTTTTGATCCTGGGGAGTAGACAATCGTATGTTGATTAGCTATCTCTTTAGGGATTTTTATTTTCTTGCGGTGGAATGCTTAGGTACATAGAAAAGGAAAAGGTTTGTTAGGGGAGGGAAAAGATTTAGGTTTGGAAAGGTATTAGTGGAGAGAAAAAACATGAGTCTCATTTCCCTTGCTTATTTTTTGGGTGTTGTGGAAAGAGAGGAACATTGAGTTTTTAAATTATGAGTCATCCTCTTTATATGATTGGGAGGATTTTGGAGACTATTGATATTTTTTTTGATTGACATGGAAATATTTTTTTATATATAGGTCGACATCACCTTGGTGATTGTAAATTAATGGATCTTATGAAGTTCAATGTACTTTTTTGAGTTGTTTCAAGGTTTTCCTTTGAAAGAAAAATGGAAAAAAGAAATGACTCATTTTAAACTAATTTCATTTGTATTGTTTACTTGTTTGCAGGAAAAATTCAATAAATCTAGGATGGGTTCTTTTCTAGAGAATGAAGACTTTTGACATTTTACACTGACAAAATAACAGTTCAACTATTTTTTCTTGTATCTGGGGAAGACATATAACTAAGGCTATCACATGCCCTTGAAGAAAATTAAGAAAAGAGTATGGAGCTAATGTTGATGGAAAGCTCTATGGATTCGGTCTTAAAACAGATGGATGATCGTAAAGTAATTGAATTGTCAATTTAAAGTATTCTTCTCAGCTGTGATTTATGAGGAGAATTGAACCATTGCTAGGTGCAAATTATTGTTTTCTATAAAGGAATTAAGTAGTGTATATTTTTTTGAATTTTCAATTGATCAATTAAATTAATTGATTCAATTTTGAGGTTTTGCCAATTCCCTTTTTAAATTAGGGGTGAGGAAAATTGACAGAAACCTAAAAAATCGAGCAAAAAGCTTGAATAAAGTAAATTAATTTATTTACTTTATTAAATTTGTTGGTTTAAATCAGTTAAAAATTAAAAAAAAAAAAATGAGTTATCAATCAATTCGGTTTTAGCTTCAAAATTTGATAAATAAATTAATTAAATGGTTGATTAATATTTTTGATTTTTTTTAAATTAATAATTATATTAATACCAAGTACAATTATTTTAAGAAAATTTAATATATTTTTTTTCAAGGTAAATGGTAATTTTGGATACTTTTACTTTACTCACTGTGGCTAATAAATAAAGAACTTAGCTGCTATATAATTAAATATTCATAAAAATCTTAATGGAACCAAGCTTCACTAATAAATCTTTAACATTATTTTAATTAAATAAAAAAATATTAATTATACATATCACTGAGTTCCAATTCCTGGAACGTATAAATCTTTGTGAACCATAAAAAAGCCCGACCAAACGCGGTCTGCAAATCTGTTGCGAAAGCCGGGATCATCGTCATGCCCATCCCGTGCTTGCAAACTTTCTGCTTCCTTCTCTCCTTCTCCAATCTGTTTTTCTTTTTACATTTTTAGAGTTTGGTAGCGTTCTCTTGTCGCACTTCTCACTAAGATCTCTACTGCAATAAACTTGATAAAACCCTAGCGTCTTTTCTACTTTCTTAGTGAGCTTGACTGTGTAAATTAGAAGCCTCGCTTTAAGGAATGGGAAAACAATCAAGCGCCTGGATCTTAACTCAGAAGAAGAGATGGCCACTGATGATTCTGGTACTCATCTTTCTGTCAACTGTAACGGTGTTCCTGATAAGATCCACCTTTGATTCATGCAACACCAGCTCCGGCTCTAGCAGCCATTTTGCCGGAGGGGCGGAAAAGATTAGCGATGGGATTCCGTCGGCTGGTCAGGCTCCGAATCCTCTCGATTTCTTGAAATCGAAGCTCGTACTCCTAGTGTCGCACGAGCTTTCTCTTTCAGGTACTATTTATTTTGGTGCTCGTCTTTTTATTTTGTTCGATTCTCTGGGATACTGATACCGGGCAAATGGGTTGCGTAGGTGGACCTCTTTTACTGATGGAGCTGGCATTTCTTTTAAGGGGAGTTGGTGCCGAAGTTGTTTGGATTACTAACCAGAAACCATCGAAACCTGATGAGGTGATATACAGTTTGGAGAGTAAGATGTTGGATCGAGGAGTTCAGGTGAATTCATTTTTTGCTCTGTAATTAGGTTCATCTTCTTAAATGCTCTCGTTTCTAACAACAATTGCTATAAAGATTTGTGAAATGTAGATGTAACACAATTGATAATTCTGTATTGCGAATTTATATGTAGTTCAATTTTCCAGAAAATGCAAAAGTAATGCTGAGCTTATACAAATTTTTCTAAGTGCGGGCAGGGTAGTTTTCTGTTTAGTCATTAGTTTCTATGTAGGACCAGGTTGTTGCTTTGCTATACTTGAAGAGTTTCATTTAGAGTTGGATATATCTGAGAATCTCCAATCAATGTGGTTGGGAGATGGCTGGGTCCATCTTCAGGTTGCAGCTCACTTTAGCTACCTAGGCTGAAAAAATGAATTATTCTAGGTATGGCATAACATGGAACAAAAGTTATCAGGATCAAAACTGTCTGGTTTCCATTAGACCCTTTCTTCTCTTTTGGAATATGATGCCTGCCCAATACTTCAGGATTTATATGATAAAACAATGTTAACTTGATTAAATTTACCACTTTTGTTGGAGACCACTATAGGATTTCCTTTCTCTTCTTGGCTCTTCTGTGTTAGATTACATAAATATGCAGAACTAAATTTGTTTTACAGAAAAAGGAGAAGTCGATATTTTATGTGCAACAAAGTCATTGGCCTTCTAATTGGCGGTTTTCCAACACTGCTAGGTCTTCCCAGCGAAGGGTCAAAAAGCTCTAAATACAGCACTTAAGGCTGATTTGGTCATTTTAAATACTGCTGTTGCTGGAAAGTGGTTGGATGCTGTTCTGAAGGAAAATGTTCCTCGAGTTCTTCCTAAGGTTCTCTGGTGGATTCATGAAATGAGAGGGCACTATTTCAAACTAGAGTATGTTAAGCACCTCCCTTTTGTTGCAGGTGCCATGATTGATTCACATGCAACTGCAGAATACTGGAAGAACAGGACTCGCGATCGTCTAGGGTATGCTTCTTTCATCTCTAAGTGAACCTAAGTGAACTTCTATTCAGTATGAAGTCATTGTGAGGTTAACAGTTTTTTTCTTTTCGATATGGTTGGTATGTATCAATTAAAATCTACTCTTTTGTTCACTTATCTAAAGTTAAGATTTCTTTCCATTTTGTCCATTACAGGATTACAATGCCTGAAACATACGTTGTGCATCTTGGAAATAGCAAGGAACTAATGGAAGTAGCTGAAGATAGTGTTGCTAGGAGGGTTCTTCGAGAGCATGTGAGGGAGTCTCTTGGAGTACGAAATGAGGATATACTCTTTGGTGCTATTAATAGTATGTTTTCCTTAGTAGTTTCATATGTTTGTAGGAAATTATGATTCATATATCAAGTTATGTATTGGATACCTATTTTGAAAACCTAAAAGCAAAAGAAGGTTTGTTTCACCTTGCTGTTAAAATTTCATATCTCAACTTTTTAGACAAGTCACACTAGGAGTTGACCCAGGCCAGACATGCCTTGGTTAGCATGACCTACCCTTTTGAATTGTAACTAGTTCATGTCGAGCATGAGTCACGAGATCAGTGGGGATTCTTGGCCCGCCATGATATCATCTTCATGGCCACAAAGCCTGCCAATGATAACAAAAACTTTTGCTTTTTTTTTTTTAAAAGAATAAGTATTACTAATAATAAGAGAGAAGACAGCAGATGCATTCTGCAATTTATTTTTCTGTTTTTTTTTGTCGCAAGTCCTATAACCAAATTCAGGGCTAAGCAACATATCATTGTCTTTGACAAACAAGTGATATTGGAATCATTCAATATAGAGTCATGTTGACATATGACGGGATATTGGATTTATGATTTTATGTTACAAAAAGAGTTTCAGGTCTTATGGAAATTGGCAGTTCTTATACCTGGAAATGTTATTGCAAATATCATCATTGATTCAACAAATCAGTGCCATACTGTTCATGGCCCCTCATTGGACAGTGGATTTTCATTTTATAAAAATTGGCTAGAGGCGCATTTGGTTTTCCTTTTTAGAACATTGGGGAGGTTGCATTTTGCTATTCAGATTCAAGAATTTATTTATAATATCAATGAGCAGTCTAGAATTGATGTTTGCTTTCTTAGTCTTGAATTGTAGGAGGAAAGCATACATCAAAATCGTTCTTCTTTTATATTTATATTTTCTTCCTAATGCCACATTCGGTTTGTTGGCGTATATTCACATTGTAATATGTCATCACATTTTGCATCCATCTGTTTTCCTTCTATCAAATTTATATTCTCTGAGCGTTGGGCACTATTGACTGCAGGTGTTTCACGTGGGAAGGGTCAGGACCTTTTTCTTCATTCATTTCATGAAAGTTTGCAATTGGTTCGGGAGAAAAAACTGCAGTTACCATCAATACATGCAGTAATAGTGGGAAGTGACTTGAATGCTCAGACAAAGTTTGAAACAGAACTGCGTCACTTTGTTCAGGAGAAAGGAATCGAGGATCGTGTTCACTTTGTCAATAAAACCCTAACAGTTGCTCCTTATCTGGCCTCCATTGACGTTCTTGTTCAGAATTCTCAGGTTGCTCTTTTCTGTTGCCCAGTTGAGAAGAAGAATGCTGGGTTTCTCATAAAAAGATATTTTAGTTCATATGCTTATATAGATTTTTCATATAAGGATGTATTTATATACATATATACATATTTACATGAAAGCATGTGCTTATATAATTTTATGTGCTTATGGTTTTGGAGTATAAACAAAAAGCTCTTTTAGATATTAAAGTTAATCGTTTATTATTTTAAAGTTCGTGTTACATTTTTACTTCTATGTAGATAGTATTTTTGTTTTAACACCACAGGTTTGATTGCAGAAACATATTGTAGAAGAAACAAAAGTCAGAAAGTATTTTAATTTACTAAATAGACTTTTGTCTTTTTGATTTTTTTTACAATTTTCCCATTTAAAAGCCTGATGTTGGTACTAAAAGAACTCATCTTACACCAAGGTTGTGGTAGTTATAATGGTCAGAATATTTCCAGCATTTGGTTGGGTTCTAGTGATGAAATCTCTTAGGGCATTCATTATGACTTCTAGTCACATCCAGGAAGGATTGTTATGTCTGTTGCACGTTCTTACCTTTTTCTTCCTCTTCCACAAAAAGAACCCTTTGTTTTCATTAAGAAAAGAAACAATGTATCTTATAATTTTTCTGTTCTGATTAAACACTTGGGACTTTCTTTTACCTGATAATGTATGCACTACCTGTCAGATCAAGATCTAGGATCTTGTAAACTTTAAAGTTTCATAAACCTATAGTAATCCTCTGAGTGGGCCTGGATACTTCAGATTTTATGTTGGTTTTTGGTTTCCCTTCTGAAGCTTAATATAATTCTTATGTATCATGCATAGGCACGAGGTGAATGCTTTGGAAGGATAACTATTGAAGCTATGGCATTTCAGCTACCTGTACTAGTAAGTCCTTTATTTACCAAAATTTTTCTGTCCAGTTTACAACTTTTAGATGGTCATCAGAATTTCCTACTTGAAGAAATAATTTGGACTTGGTTATGTTGATCTCTGAGACTTACTTCCAGAAAGATAATCTTTATCTCTGACATAAACATAGTTAACTCCAATTTTTTTTTTTCTCTAATATTATTCGACATCAGTTTACCTTCTTGTTGTCCATTATTGTTTATTTTAGTTAGCTTATAGCTCCACTAAAGCATGAAAACCTGAATTAGTAGTTTCATGAATAATTGTGTATATCCCTCATTTTCTAGTGAAATGATTAATTACATGATTGATCATTCAGGGCACTGCAGCAGGAGGCACCATGGAGATCGTGGTAAACGGGACAACTGGTTTATTGCATCCTGTAGGAAAGGAAGGGGTGGCATCACTCGCAAATAACATTGTGAAATTGGCCACACAGGTTGAGAGGAGGCTGACTATGGGTAAGAGAGGATACAAGCGGGTGAAAGAGAAGTTTTTGGAGCACCACATGTCACAAAGAATTGCTTCTGTTATCAAGGAAGTATTGCAGAAGGCTAAGAGAAACACCCATTCATAACTTTTGGGAGCAAGTTGATATTTAGTTGAAAATTCTCTACTGGGGAATGGCGATCACATATATGGTTCATGGATGACTTTTCCAGGCCCTTGATTTCGAGGGCATTGAGTCTTTGGAAAATTGGTAGCATTGAATTTAATTGGACTGGAATTAGGAAAAGAAGAGTTGTATTATATGTATCATTTTCCTCCAAGTTAATGCTTCACCAAGTCCTTAAAAAAAAATGGTTCACCAAGTTATTAGTGTCTTTTGTCCATTTTTACTATTAGATTTATTTTGAAAGTAAATTAGTTTAATATGTTTACATTTATCAGAACTCAATCGAACACTAGACATGCAGAAACTTTTAAATAATTTAAATGGTTTAACTTCTGCCTTTGCAATCTGATCTTTACTCCAATTTCTGAATTAGTTCCTAAGACATGAACTAAAGCCTCTCCAATCAGCCATGTTCATCTTAGATAGCAAAGAAACAGAATGAGCTTTTCTCTATTTGAAGGCCACTGCAATTGCATCCTTCATCACTTTCTGCGTCCCCTATCACTGACAATAACCTGAGGTTTATAACGCTTCTCGACTCTTTAATTAGCTTTCGTAAATTTTTTTATACAAAAAAAAAAAAAGAAAGATGATACCAACTGATGAAAAAAAAAAACAAAAAAAAAATAAGAAACAAGAAGTCCGAAGGAGTCAGACCCAAAAAGTATTGCAATAATTAATATAAAACAATCTCTTTAGCTGATTAGAAGCTTGGGAGAGCTTGGCGAAACCAAAAAAAACTGCAAGAAATGGCCACTTGACAAGCCAATTCAGATAAGTATTATTATCGCTCGCCATGAATATGGGTAATATAGATATCTTAGTTACTGAGAAGAAGAGTGTGGGTTTTGATCAACAGAATTCAGGGTGATAAATATTATGGGTGAGCCGTCGCTATAATAATTAATTGGCTGAAGTGAAAGGAATCAACCTCAATGACAAGCTTTTTAATACCAATATCATGCACCAACTTGTAACCTTTAAGAACATTACGAATTCCGACAGATACAGCATGTTGAGAACCAATATTGTACATGAAACTGACCACATAACTTCCATCACTATCTCTAATCAACTCCCTCAATGCAATATCTTTAGAATTACCTCGATTAAACACATTAGTCTTGAACTTGAACTAACCTGTAGGAGCTAATCCAAAAATATCGAGTGGAATCCTCCACTTTAGTAGGATTGCCATGTCTCAAATAAGTCTTTTGGAATTCCAAAACAGTTTGAATAACATTATGGCATGATGATCTCGTGCTATCAGAATTACCATGATGAGATCATTTCTTTTCCTCTAAAAAATTCATTTGATCAAAAAAATCGTATTCTATTTTCGAATATTATGCATATTAATATTATTATACATATTTTAGTTAAGTCACATGTTAGAAAAAAAATCTTATTAGTCGATACTTATTTGATCGTGAACAGTCGCGAATTATTAATCATCAAAATTTTAAAGAAAAGGTATTACAAAATAAAATTAAGTTAATTTAATAATAATTAAAGTGCTGTCAAAAAATAGAAAGAAAGAAACGACATCGTTCCTTTGAAAGTTGAATTGTCTAACTTTTCTTATTTTGAGTAGATGCAGAAGAATAATTCTGTAATTAATTCTTTGTTTGGATGATGTTATTTTGTGACTCACTAATGTAGCGTATGGTGGTGGGATAGTAAAATTTTATTTGTTTGCTGATGATATAGTTAATTTAGAGAGTTTAGTAGTATCAAAAGATAAAATTTAAGTAAATTTTTAAAATTATCGATTCAATAGGTTTTAACATACTCATATTTTTGTTTTAATTATACACTTATTAAATTTTATTAGTTCCTATTTTATCTTTGAAAAAATCCTTATTTAAGACTTCATTTTCTTTTTCAGCAACCAACCTACTTCTTTTTTTCTCTTCTTTTCAGTTTTCCTTAATAAATAAAATTTATTTATATCATAAAAATAATAATAATAAATATCATATAATAGATAATTTTTTAATTTATAATTATAAATAAAAAATTATAATTTTAAATTAATTTTTTATATTAACTATTAAAAATAATTTTTTTTTATAATAAATTTATATTTTAATATTTTTTAAAAATTATAATTTAAATAATTTTTTAAAATTAAATAATTTAATTATAAATTAAATAATTCTTTTTTCTTCAATATTATATGCAATAAAATAAAAATAAATTAATAATTTAACTCAATATATAACAATATTTATTTATCAATTCAAATAAAATAATTGTAATTACCACTGCAAAAATCATCCAAAGAGACCCATAAGACCAGAAGAAGTATTTGCTCTCAGAAGTTCAATTCAGGAAAGAAGAGTTGGCCAAAGAGCATTTTTGCTTCATTCACGTCGATTACCAGAACTTTGATCTGTGATTGTGAGTTGGAAGATTTCGACGATGAGCGACGGAGAGGATGTGTTACGGCGTCGTAATGGGATGACGGAATACCGTAAGAAACTCCTCCAGCATAAAGAGCTCGAAGGCAGAGTCCGATCAGGTGAAATCTCTCAACACCAGGAACGTTAAATCACTGATTTCTATACCTCTTCTGTCATTTTCATCGATATTTTTCTTAGTTGATTATCATTTCTGCTCTATTTTATTGAATAGTTAGTTTACTGTCATGCCGGTGGATATTAGGGTTTTGCTTCACATTTCAGTTCCTGTAAGGATTTCTATTTTAACTAGGCTTACATCGTGTTTGCGGCTGCTTTTTTCTGATGCATTGATTTATGCTTTTTCGTCTCTTTATGGTAGTTTTGTTGATTGCTTTACTGGTAGAGTGCTGAATAATTGGGGAAAAATGTTCAAAATTTTCTTTTGCAGTAATGAAATTACTTGCGAGTATATCTTTTTCTCTTGGATTCCAGGTTTGGTAATTTCAAGAATTCAGTGTGGATTACTATTGCTTTCCTCGTAGACACTTGACACGAGTAGTATTAGGAGGAGAAATAACCTTCGATTAACATATGAAATTTTGGCTATCGGCAAATATATCAGGAGAAAAAAAATGTTGATATTATTTTGGTGTATTTTGGAAAAAAATCCTGTTTTTATTATGAAAAAGGAAATATCATTAGACAGAGAGAAAGAGAACAAAAGCTGGCAGAGTATAAGAAACACCTAAAGCTCCAAACAAACCTGCAAAAGGAAATCCCTATAATCCCGTGAGCTTTGGCCAGAAGGAGGAAAAGAAATCCGATCTGTTTTAGAGTGAAGCAAAGATCCACGAAAATTCCAGCATTGTGCTCCGCTAAAAAACCTGTAAACCAGCAAAAGAGCTTATCTCAAGAGAATCCCAGCCTCCTTTGTCCAAACTCCCCTGAGGTATGTCAAGAGGAAACACTCGAGGAAAGGGGGTGCAGCCTACATGAGGTCAATTACCTAAAAACCTGGATCGAAGTCTTCAAGCCACCTTCTAATGCACAAAGAGATGGCAACAGGACTCACCTCCTTGACACCTAACACACACATCTAATAGAAGAGCATGGTTGGTTTTGCAAATATGCAACACATTGTTTCTTAGCATAATTGCATAATGAGCATTTATTGAGATTCAATCGAAATCCATAAGACATAAAATAAGAATTTACATGGTATTTCTCTCTTTGTCATAAGGGAGCACTAATCACACATGAAAATATGAGTCAGCCTGTGTCCGAAGTAAATGAGAGGAGTTCATGCCTCTAAAATCATTGAAAGCATGGGCACAAGAACTACTGTGAAAAAAAAGTTTCCGCTTATAAATATTTATAGGATGAATTTCATTTGCTCTAGCATGTGATGTAGGACAAATTAGTATTAATTTGACTATTTAAAGGTTTGGGATAAGTAAAAAACGGAGTGGTGTTCTCAAAAGGAATCACAAAGGTATTTTACAGAGTGCCAAGTAAGTCTTCTCGAGTTGATTTAGACTAAGAAATACTAAGATTAATAAGATCAGAAATATTACTCCTAATAAGTGAGAAAATACTGATGCTAAGAAAATTAGAAAGACTAATCCTAATATAGATAGGAAAAAAATGTAAATAAACTGAAAAACATAAAAATAACTTAAATAATATAAGATAGTACATCATTATTATGTCCATACGTCATCAAGATGTCATCAAGGTGAGGTATAAGAAACCTATATTTGATGGTATTCTTGTCAATTGTGTGACTATCAATACCCATTTTCCAGGTTCCATCTTTCATGGGTGTAAGTAATACAGGTTAGCACATGGGCTTAAACTTTTTTTATATAAACCCCTTGGATATAGTAACTCATGAACTTTTCGCTTAAGCTCATAGTGTTCACTTGGATTTATATGATAGGCTGGTAGGTCTGGCAATTAAGATATTGCTGTGTGAAAGTACAAGATTAAGATAGGCAACCGAGGGGAAAACTTGCATTGTTGAGTGGCATGCTGTCCTATGGAATTTCATGGGAGGCTTCAGGGGTCTGCCAGTCGGGGTCTTCTGAGGATGGTGGTAAGAGCAATGTCACACTCTCCAGCAATGGATAATGGGTGGACTGCTGGTTATTTTAGGGTTTTTATGTGTGCAATTTTTTTGAGACTGTTTGGGTTTTAAGTTTTGAGATTTTAGGGTATAAGATTCTTTAGCTTTGGTAATAACTGATGTCGGATAAATTAGGGTTGACTTAACTTCTTAGCCCTTTGAGGATAGAAATCTAGATATTACATATAGGATTCTTAAGTATCACGCTTAAAATTTGATAATTATATAATTAAATATTGAAAAATTCTTGAAGTATGTTATTGAATAACTAAATAATGATTTCAAGGAGATTAAAAAAGGATTTAGAATGGCAAGATTAAAAAAAGATTTAGAATGGCAAGTTAAGTATTTTCCAAGGAAGATTTGACTAAGAAATACAAAAACTAATAAAATTAGAATTATCTCAAAAAAAATATCTCAAAAAAGTAATAAAATTAGAAATGTTATTCCTAATAGAGATAGAAAATAAAACATAAATGACCTGAAAAGTATCAAAATAACCTATAGTAAATAACTACTATATCTACAAGCTATCAGCATATCTAGTATGCCAATATATTTGTGATGCTGTGTGTAAGATTGAAGTGGACTTGTTTATATGCAGTGAGGAAGAATTTGAGAGCTTCTGGGAAAGAGTTCAACAAGAGTTGAATTAACTATTCATAACATGAAACTTTTCATTTCCTTTGGCATGTCTGAGTAATCTGATATTTAATAATGCTGTGTCTAAGATTGAATTGAGCGTGTGTATATGCAGTGAGAGAGAATTTAAGAGCGTCAAAGAAGGAGTTCAACAAGACTGAAGATGATTTGAAATCTCTTCAAAGCGTTGGGCAGATTATTGGAGAAGTGCTCCGGCCCCTAGACAATGAAAGATGTAATTTAACCATCCTTTTCTCTCTTATTTTTGGTTTCTATCTGTTTATGATTTCTAGCAGTTGAGTCTTTTTGTTATATGGGTGTTCCTCCACGTATTTCATCTATTTTATTCTGCAGACTAATTCTATGGTATATGCCCAATATTGTATAGTTCTAGATCACACTTGAATGATTATGTTGTTCAATATATTTCTCTGCATCCTGATTTTCCTTTTGAATTTTTTTTTTTTGGTTTCAATAAGTTCAAATATGTATTTTTAGTATTTCTCTAGACCATGTTTTATATGTTATGATTTGTAGAAGTTTCTAATTGACACTACTCATCTTAAACTATAGTTGTCCCATTTTCTTTTCTATTTCATCCTCTCAATTGTGCTGTTCTTTCTTTCCTCCAAGAGCCTTTTGGTAACAGTATAATGGACTTGTCTATATAATGTTCCAGTAATTGTCAAGGCAAGCAGTGGTCCTCGTTATGTGGTAGGCTGTCGCAGCAAAGTGGATAAGGAAAAATTGACTTCTGGAACAAGAGTTGTCCTTGATATGACGACGCTAACAATCATGAGGGCTCTTCCTCGAGAAGTGAGCTATATTCCTAAATGAACTTATAACCTTGTTCTTGCTTGGATGCGTAGTTTTATCTGCCTTTCATTCTTTTAAATAAGACGACTGAATCTTATTTAAAAGAAGCATTCTCTATATGAATGTCCATTGTTCTGATATGTATTTCAGGTTGATCCGGTTGTTTATAACATGCTGCATGAGGATCCAGGTAATGTTAGCTACTCAGCTGTTGGTGGTTTATCCGATCAGATCAGAGAATTGAGGGAATCTATTGAGCTGCCCCTTATGAATCCTGAACTTTTCCTTAGAGTAGGAATTAAACCTCCTAAGGTAATTAGTGCTCCCTCTCTCTCTCTTCTCCCCCTCGCCCCTGAGGCTTTCTTGCAATATGTTGCCTCAGTAAGTGATTGTGTGCGAATGTGCATGTCTATACTAGATAATTAAAATATCATGTTATTGATTTTAGGATTCTTGATAAATTCTGACATCTTATTGTCTTTGCTCTAGGGCGTCCTTCTTTATGGACCTCCTGGAACAGGTAAAACATTGCTGGCTAGAGCAATTGCTAGTAACATTGATGCCAATTTCTTAAAGGTGCGGTACCTTCTGTTGGTCTTTTTACAGTTCCTGCTTGCTATATTTCTCTATTTGTGAAAATTTTGAATTATTGTTTGCATTCAGGTTGTCTCAAGTGCAATTATTGACAAATACATTGGAGAAAGTGCAAGGTTGATACGAGAAATGTTTGGATATGCACGGGATCATCAAGTAAAGGCTTGATTTTGCAGATTTTTTTTTTCTATTCTTTCATTTTGTTTCCATTTATTTGACTCATTCCAATTAGTTCGTGCTCTGAAGCCCTGCATCATATTTATGGATGAGATTGATGCAATTGGTGGACGCCGTTTCAGTGAGGGAACAAGCGCAGACCGTGAAATTCAAAGGACGCTCATGGAGTTACTCAATCAGCTTGATGGATTTGATCAACTTGGGAAGGTATTTTTCCCATGTCATAACTTGATTCAACGTTGTTACTTGAAACTGACAAACAAGGAGACATCTCTACGCACACATGCACATGCATGCATAAGAGATTGTGCCATACATGATATTATTGGAAGGCTGATCATGCTATAACATTCTGGGTCTGTTTACTATTTCCCATTGGAAGAAATGTGAGTATCTGTGATAATGCTCTTAGTTTCAGCTATGCTAATGCAATTATTAGAAAGAGTGAACCTTGTTAGCGTCTTTTATCTTTGTAAGATAGGATCTGTTTCTAGGAGGCTGGATTTTGGTTATTTTTTAATCTGTTTACTTTGGGATTCAGTTGTGGGAAATCCATTGCATTGTCTTGTGTAGTGGTATCACATGCTGACGGTTCCCACCTTGATTCAAATTTTGTTACAAGTTCATTATGCAGTTTGTAATATAGGGCCATTACCAAATATTGACATATAGGTAAAAATGATAATGGCAACAAACCGACCTGATGTTCTTGATCCTGCACTTCTCCGTCCGGGGAGACTAGACAGAAAGATAGAGATTCCATTGCCAAATGAGCAGTCAAGAATGGAAATCCTCAAGATCCATGCGGCTGGTATTGCAAAACATGGTGATATTGATTATGAAGCTGTTGTAAAACTTGCTGAGGTGAGTTAAATTTGGCTTGTTTTTTTCTTCCTTCATCTGATGTGATTCAGTTAAGCATTTTCTTATCGCAATTGTTCAGGGCTTTAACGGTGCTGACCTACGTAATATATGTACTGAGGCTGGAATGTCAGCAATTCGTGCAGAACGAGATTATGTTATCCATGAAGATTTCATGAAGGTACACCTTCAAATATTTCTCAAAGTCCATTCTTTTTTCACTCATTTCTATGGTTTGCTAGATTTTATCTTCTAAACATTTCAGGCTGTGCGGAAATTGAATGAAGCAAAGAAACTTGAATCTAGCGCACATTACAATACTGATTTTGGAAAAGAATAAACTCATTTTTCAGAACTATGGAGAGCCGCCAGTGCATGTTTCAGGATTCGGATGATGCGACTTTTTCCTTGTTTTTCCGAACGATCATGGTTTAATTTATTCCTTTCCATTTTTAAGCAATGTGAAATGTATCTAATACATTGTTGCTTGCACTATTCATGCTCGACATGGTATCCGGTCATCTGTAATGCGAACATAATTGTACTTGTTTTGTCTCCGGATGTTCCAAGTAAATTAAGGTAAACTTAGTTCGGCCTGGAATGTGATTTAGAGCATATGTTGGATAGGGGTAGCCAGAGGGGTTTAAATTTTGCCTTTTTCTCCTCATTTGAGAGGATTCTTGGTGCCTCAAATTGGGATAAGATTGGAATAGATAAATTAGTGTAGTAGAGGAGCAACATACCTTCCTTACTGTTCTCTTTAGATATCTTAGTGGGTAAAGTTATAACATATTTTCTCGTGTTTTAATTTTGAATTTCTTAATAGTGAGAATTCAAGTAGGAACTAGAAAAACAAGAATTGAATTTCGACTATTAAGAAATTCGAGTTAACGTTGTGGTAATTCAAAAATAATAAATTATGCTAGTTATGTGTATTAAAGAGATTAATATGAAGTTTAGAAGTAAGAAACACGAATATTTCAAAGCAAGTTATTTGGATTTCAGTTTTTAAAAATTTCAAGTGGAAGAACTGAACCTACAATTCAATATTTGGATATTCTTAATATGCTACAAAACCGCTAGGTATGTATTAATTTAAACCGATATTTTTCTGAAAAAAGTAATCTTTTTGGTGTAACATCTAGGACACCTGTACTTACAATAGAATGATTAAAAATAAAATTCATAAAGCTAAACCACATGCACAACCTAAAATAACCCAACCCTTTCAGCTCCCTTTAATTACTAAATTGAACTTAAAACACACTCTCAAAGCTAAATCCAATTAGCTTGTCATACAACTAAATTCAACTTTATCCAACACCCAAATTAAAGACCCAACCAGATAACTCTCCAAGACACTTCAAGAAAGCTACTGCCACAACCCATCCAGCACCAGTTGACATCCATCCTTTAACTACCATAACCCATTTAGCTATATTATAATCAAATACATCCTCCTCCTAAAGGATTTACCCAATTTAACACCCAAATTGAAGACCCCACCGCACAATTCCCCATTATATTCTAAAAGGGTTACCCCCTTTCACCAACCACCTATTATACCCACCAAAGCTTTCAAAGTGGACACGAAGAAGAAAAAAGATAGCTAGAGCAGGCCAATATTTGCGCTAGTTTTCAACTGAACTGGCCAGTTTTGGTGTCTTGAGATGATCGTTATGCTCTTTATCAAATTCTCTCACTCATATTATCCACTGAAGGGATGAAACCATCGTCTAGTGCAAGTGATTGTCATGTCTTTTTTTCTTTCTTTTCTAATACACAACTTGGCTAGAGATGACACACGGTAATGTACTAATCCACTCCAACACACTCTGGATATGACAGGTTAATGTTTGTAAAAACATTAACGGAGTATGTAGTGCATGTGAGTAGAAAGTTATCAACTTGAAATGGGTATAACACAAGGATGGATATAACGATTTATTTGACATTCTGCTATATATATGATTAATAAATTTTTAATTTTATTTAATTCTACTCAAATTAATTAAATTTTTATTAGTAAATATTTTTAAATGTTGTATATTTGTAATATTATTTTATATTTATTATTGAGTATCATATTTAAATATTATCTTAAGTTCTATTTTATTTCAATAAATATCTAATATTTTTAATTAAAATTAGTTAAATATTTCATAAAATTAGAAAAGGTAAATATGGCGAGCTGCAGGGTGGATAACGAGTAAAAAACTTTTTACTTATCTTGTGTAACGGTTCCGGAAATTCAAAAAGAAATACATATAATAATCTAAGTGCAGAAGAGAAATAAAAGATTAAAATTAATATTCCTTACACAATAACTTTAAAATACTAAACAATATCACGGAATAAGTTCTCTAAAAGAAATAATAGAAATGAGAAAAATAAAGAAAATTATAAAGTATCTAACATCTACTCGCCGTCTTCTTGTGGATCGGGTTCAGAAATAAAATTCTCATGATCTGAAATGGTTAAATAAGGAATGAACTACACTATCCCAGTAAGGACATCACACTATATCACCGCGAAAGAAGTAAAGGTTGGTAGGAAACCGAAAACAATCAATGGAGCACAAATTTTCAAACAATACAATTATTAAAATAAAACCACTTACCATTTTTCTTACCATTGGAGAACTTGTGAAAACAACTTATAAAGACAATAGCATCATACAGATGATAATTTCATGCAGAATTAGTAACATAAAACATATCATAAATCCGTATTCATTAACAATAACTAGTTATCACCGCTTCTCATTTTTACCGGCCTACTAGTATCTATGGGGATCCAAGGGGTTCCCGTTACACGTGAACCATTCTCCTTAACAATCTAAATTCCAGGACCGTCCCCATATCTCGTCCGGTATGAGCGCCAAAACAATAAACTTTAATACCCCGTCTGGTATAAGGGTGAAGCGGACCGTCCCCAATCCCGTTTGGTATGAGCGCCAAATGACCAAGTCTCCATACCCCGTTCGGTATGAGACAACGTTCACAGTAGGATTCCCTATGAACTCGGTCCGTCCACCATCTCTCAGGATATCTAGTGAGCCTATCATATTATCAATTTATCAAATCACATCCCATTCCTATTTGTCCTTAGTCTCCGTTACCAACTCAAACATGAATACATAAACAAGTAACGTGATCCAACAAAGCAAGCATATCTTAGATTCCCAAAATCAAACAGTAGTGAAGTAAGCAATGATACATGCATTTAAAACCATAGAATATATAAACCAGATACTATAATGCATTTAAACTGTAAAATAAATCAAACAGAAATCGACAGAGAAATATATCCAGTTCGAGCTCCATTGGCAACCGTAATTAATTATACATATCTATTTAATTTGTACAAAATACAGTATTATCATTTATTCAAATTTCAATTCCATGATAGGAAATAGGGTGAAAGGTCCTTACTTGATTTGACATCGAAACTAGATTGTCACTGCACCTACGGGCAGTCCCTATGTTTCTTGAATTTTTTTTTTCAAGAATGAAACGCGCTTACGGTACCTACACATGTCCCAAATAACCCAAAAATCAGACCCAGGGCCTACTCGGCCAGTTTTGAAATTCCGGCACGACGGCTCCGCCGTGCTCCGGCGACGGCGCCGACGCGAACATCGGGTTGGCTGTTTTCGGCAAAATTCAGCCAAACTTGCATAAGTTCATATGAGAAAACACACTTAGGACCCTCGGTGGGCCGAAAAAAAGTAAAAAATCGAAACTCACTAGTGGTGGGGCTCTCCAGTGTGGTGGCTCCTCCGGCTCATGTTGCGGTTAGGTGTTTTACTTCGGTCAACTTGTAGAGGAGGAAACGGTGATCATAATGGTGAAAAAATTACATTGAACAGGAATCGGGAAGGGCCTCATCAGAGGCGAAAATCGAAACACCCCGTGGTGGCATCGCTGAGTTTTGGCGGCGTTTTTTGGCCAATTAGCCGGTGCTTTCACTCTAATTTGGCTATAAGTGGGTTTAGAATCAAATTCTAAGTAAAAGGTAGAATTTTTACCTCGTTTGGCGGCTGGCTCCTCGGCGGTTGGGCTGTCTTCTCCGGCGAGGGGCTCTGGCGGCTAGGGTTAGGATTTGGGTGCAGACGAGGTTATTTATACCCATTCGCTTTTGATTTGAGCTGTCCATCATTTTTAATCTGGACTGTCCGATTGCGATTAAATAGAGAATAAATATAGATCGTTCATCGCGATTCAATATGGACCGTCCGTGCGCGATGCAATCTGGCCCGTCTGTGCGCATTTTTGATCTGGACCGTCCGTGCGTGCAGGAACATATCTCAACCGTTCGATCGCGCGCACGCGGATCGCCCACGTGACTCCCTCCCGCGTGGCCTCCTACATCAGCGTCCCTGCCATCTGGCGCGTCCTGGTTGGCCGGGGCAGCTGACGTGGCACAATTTTTTAAAATTGCATTTTGACCTCCCAGTTTTTTATTTTTCTTTCAAAAATAACCCCAATACCTAAATTTTTACCAAAATTATTTTCAATTAAATCTCTAAATAATTTTTTTACCCCTTATTATTTTTATTATTATTTCCATTAAAATGAATTAAATTCAATTTAAAATTACATAAATAATAATTTTATTCACACAACAATAATTAATAAAAAGAAAAAAGGAAAGGTTGGGTGTTACATTTTGAGACGAGTATAGACTTATATTTTCTTTAATGCTAATCTTTATATCTACCCTCATATCTATCCCTAATTTTGACTAGTTCATTGGTAAAGGAATATTTCTCTCTTAGTGTGAACAAAAATATTCATTTAATGCTAATTATAAGATTGTCAATTTCTCTTCACCTTATTATTTAAAAACTAAGGAAGTTGTTTATGAACATTAAACTTAGAGCTTCTTTATCCCTAGTAGTTTGGATATGTAGGAAACCAAGGTCCACATGTTTTTGGAAATTGACATTCTATCCATATATTATAATCTCTCACTACAAGCTAGTTTGATTTGTGCAGAACTATCAATGTTAAAGGTCTAAACACCTTATTTCAAGAATAACCAATGAATTGAAGGAGAGTTGGTAGATATGAATTTTTTCAATTTCTACACATAAAATATAAATAAAAAATTTTAGAATGAAACTTGACTTGAAGAGAGATATACAGTTTTTAACCACTAGATTAGTCTAATTCTAATTACATCAATATATTTGTCAATTAATAAAAAAAAATTTAATTAAAAAATTATCATTCGTAACTAATCAAATAACAAAAATATAAATATTGAATTAGTATTGAAAATGTACCTATCCTATAGCGCAACCACATAACCCGTCCTTACTTAATAAGATTCTTAACACATTAAGGGGGCTACCCACATAATTCTGACCAAAATAAAGAAGAAGATACAAATTCTAAAACTTTTTAATATCTCACATATTAAAAAAAAAAAGGTGGCCTATTAATTCCTCAAATAGCTCACGAAAACAACATATGTTAAGACTTTTTAACTCACGATGACATTTGTGAAAATATTCGACTACTGAGATTTTATCTTTTAAAACCTATCACACGCACTTTGTTTAAAAAAGATATTTAACTTCCCGATATCTTTAACCTTTATACAACTAATATAAGAGACCAGCTATAAGAACCCACACTTGAATCAATCTAGGACTTGAAAGATTTAATTGATACTCCACATGACATTCTTTGTCCAAACCAATCTAATCCTATCTCTTGTCCTTAAGGACTTGGCTATGTAAGATAGCCATGAACTCCACACGAATATTAATTTTTCAATAGAAATATTATATTATACTTGAATGTTCGAGTTTCACTATTTTATATTCTAAGTTTGTTAATTTTTCAATAGAAATATTATATCATACTTGAATGTTCGAAACCTAAAAATTACTATTTTGTATTCCAAACTCACTAATCATCCCTTCTAAGTTGTGAACTAAATGAATGATTGAAAAATTATGTTTTTTTTTTAGAAAAAAACTCCCCTACGCAAACATCATTTTAAATTTGGATTCTATTTTGTTTTTTCCTACAAAGAATTCAAATGCCAAAGAAGCACTTATTCCCCCTTATTAATAAAGAGAATTGATTTAATTATACATCTCTACGATTTAAAGAAATTGTGCCCTCATATTAGGCAAAAAAAAAAAAAAAAAAAAAACGAGCACTCATCATAGTTATAAATATCGTAAATCATTGTTTGCCGTAGCAACTTACCTCCTTGTTAATCTCCATAGCCACTCCAATAATAAGGCTCAATTCATTATATGAAATTAATCAAAGCTAGACCCACATGAAACTTGTGAAAATACCACATCCACCGTGTAAATAATGAACCCCCAATTTTCTTGCATTACTAATAACATAGAAAATAATACTAATTGTATTAGTGTAGCCGTAAGTCGAATAGATATAAAATACTAATAGCTCGTAATTTATAACAGAAGAATCGTAGTAAAACAACAAATGGTTTATGTCATGGCATTTTTTTGGGTGTACTTTCTCCTTGTGAGTTTATATTTGACCATCCTTGCAATCTTGTAGAACCAGTAAGCACTCACCAACTGTAATCCCATTGCCATGACCTAATTCCAAAATTCCAAAAAAAAATCACTTAACAGTGAACAAAATAATGAAATAAATTATACAATATTAAATAATTATTTCGCAAGGATAAATAAATTTGGAAAAAAACACCTTTATTAGAAGGGGATTATTGGGAGCCGACAGTGTGACGAATGTGAGATAAGGGCCCACTACCATTCTTGCGAATGAGAAAATGACAGCAAATGCCAGCTGTATGAAATCAAAATTCACACGATTAGTTCAACTCCTAACCCAAAAAAAAAAAATTTAATTAATTAATTCAAGTAATTAAGAAGAGTAGAAAGAAGAAATTAACATCAGCCGCCAAATTAAGGTCGGTATCTCTGTGACCGAGCTCTTTCAGATTCTCTCTCAAGTGCAGGAAAGGACTGGAGATCTCTGTTATCCATAATGCACCAACCATCTCCCATCCACACTGCACCCCCACATATATATTTATAGATATACACACACACACACACAGATATACATGCTGAGTAAGTAGAATCCTGAATGAATACTCAAAATTCAAAGTTACTGATAAAAGTCAAGACATATATTAAGAATGTATATACAAATGAATACCTTTTGATACGCAAGGCCGGCTATTATACCAACTATGCTGACCAAATGATGAACAGTGTTATCAAGATTGACTCGAGTATCGAAGAGGCAGCATATTAGATCATATATTAAATAGGAGAGGCTAATTGCTAGGGTTTGCATCTGCCCAGTATATATTTTCCATCATTAACATCATATGCATACATGTACATACATACATATATATATATATATACACAGAGTGAATTAACAAGAAAAGCAATTAAAATGGAAATATACCTGGTGATATGAGGATTTTGAATCGGGCAAATTAGGAGAATGGTGAAGAAGAGAGATGGTAGCCAAAGTTACAGCAAGAGTTGCATGAACTGTAGACACGATCCGGTTGCTGAATTCAAAAGAACGCTTGGGCAAGCTTCTCCTCACACACACAAATAAACCTGCCCATGAAACTACTCCCACTAAAACTATCTTTATCATCACCATACTAGTAGTCTCTTCCATCTCCCAACACAAACACAACTATACATATATATATATATATGTGTGTGTGTGTGTGTGTGTATATATGTGTTATTTCACAGTATAACAACCATGAAATAATACAGAGGAGTTTAATTTAAAAGTTCAAACTTCATTAGTTCTTCTCCACCATAACTTCACCTATATATGAAAAAGTGACTTAATTTGTTCCAAATTTAGAAGGTTTATAACTGGAGTTAGGTGGGTAGCCTAACCCATTCTATGAAATGGAAAAGATTTTCAGCTTTTTTTTTTTCAAAAAAGATTTATGTTTTTATTACCTTTTCCAAAAAATTTTTAATTAGTCAACTTAATTAATTGGAGAAAGCAACTAATCTCATTTAAATCATTCTTAGCGAAAACTATTCATCATGAAATGACTAAACTATGACTAATCTTTTTACTTTTTGTGGTTGTGATTATATAACTTGTTGTTCTAAACTGTATGCGGATAGAGTTGTGATCATAATTTAGAGGTTGAGGTAGTTCGTTGAAGAAATTTTCGAGACTAAACTAAAAGTTATACATACGAAATTGCCAGCAGGTTTCGCGGCTGGTTAAATTGCATTAAAGATGGCAGCTTTGGAGAATGATGGTATAAATTGCGTTATCATTAATATTGGTAGTTGTACAGGCTTCAACCTGCTGTGGACTCCACCATCCTGCTTTCATATTTCACGGGCATTATGTTTATTAATTTTCACACCTAAGTGAAGGGAACAAATCATAACGGCCTTAGCAATTCAAAACCATATGTCTGTACATATACATTGCTTTTTAGTCTTAATTAAATTAAGAGATGATTGAGAATATGTCACTAGATGATTCATCCATCATTCAAGATACATATATTTTTTTATATTTGTGGTGTATAGTGTCCTAACTTATTCATAATTTCAAACAAAGTAGAAAAACCAAGTTATATTGAATTAAGAAGTTGGAATTGGAGTCTGTGGTTAGTTTGAAAGCTGGGTGGAATGTTTATTTATCTTCTTCAACAATCCACTTCAAACTGATAATGGTAAAAACATCTGAAGTTGTCTTTGAAATTTTAAAAATTTATGCAGAACTTAAATATGAGAATTTCGTTCTTGTTTGAAAAGAAAATAGAGCTAAGGTTTCTATTCACCGGAGATATATAAAGGGTAAATTTTGCTTATGTGGATGCCACGAGCCCAATATTGAATGAAATCTGTCTATGCGGTTGCTACATATATAAATTTTTGTATTGACTTGAATGAATTTCATAAATTAAAAAAAGGGCATTTTATATATTTTAATTTTTTATTAGAATATATAATAAGATTCAAAAATTAAATAATTAAAATCTTATCTTCACTCTTCAGCAGTCTTGATCCGGAACATACTAGATTTGATTAGAACTGAGACAAAAAAAAAAATCATCCTAACTCCATACTAAATATTAGATGGATAGTGATTCAATTTAAAAGCCTGTTACTCTTGCTTTGTTTCAAGCCTTTAATCATCAGCACCTCCAATTGTTTTGGTTATGGATTAGCGAACAAGAGTAACAGGTTGACAGTAAATGTAAATGTTTTTACAGTAATTATTTATTTATTTTATTATAAATTTTGCATACATACTATTATTATTATTAAAATTTAAAAAATCCTTACTCAATAATAATTATGTGCACCCTAGGTTGGTTGGGGTTTGATACAGTAAAGTGTGGGGACGAATTTGGATTTGGTCATTTCAAAAATATTTTAAATTTATAAATTAAATTGTAACGAAAATAGCACTACCCAAAATCTAGCCACCCATAAGTTAATTAGTTTATAAATTTATAATCAATGAACTAAATTACACCAAAAAAACCATAATTATCCTAGCACTAGACCCAATTGCCCCATAAATTTATTAACTAAATTCCACCAAAAAAACTAATTATCTCAAATATGAACTAAATTGCACCCAACAAATTATAAGTTTATAAATTAGTTAACCCACTTATAAAATAAATTCTATTGTTATACATACCCTAAATTGCAAATAATAATCATCATAACTCCAAATCTAAACTAAGTTGCACCAAAAAGTTCATCGATTTATAAATCAAATTTCATCCCCATATCATAAAATTATGCCAAATGCCAATTACTCCAAATCTAATTAAACTAAACTAATTGAAGCCGACTATCCCTCAAACAAACTAAAATAATATTGGTTTCGGATTTGAATATAATTATCTACTTTTAAGTGAATGTTAATTTTTTAAGACACTAATAATGTTACGAGAGTTATTGATAAGTAACGAATATTTTTAGACATTTTATAAAATAAAAGTAAAAATCTAAATCGATAATAATAAATGAAAAGAGAAACTCAATAGAATAAAAGAAATTTGAGACTTACATTTAAAGTAATAATATATCTCGCTTGTGTTTAGTTATCTTTACGTTACTATTTTATACTTTAAATAGATAATAAATAAAAAATTTCTTTGTAATATATTTTAAATGGTGCTTTTGTTTCTATAAAATTTAAAGCTTTGATAAATGTAATGAAATAGTTAATGTGGCTAAAATTCTTGGTAGGTTGAAAAATATTATTTTGAATTATCCATTCATTAATAAACAATATTTTCTAATGCACCTGGACTTTGGTTCAAGTGTATATTTTCTTACTTTCTTTCTATCAAAGTAAGGGTTCAAGTATTTTTTAGATATATTTTCTTACTTTTATGCATCTATGATCTCGTGGTTTTCGTTCTGATTTCACACTGGTCATTTTTACTGTGAGGTAATTCAGACTATGCAGACACTCGAAAACATGCAAAGTATAGCAAGCATTACTTACATATATATACACACACACACTCATCGTATGTAAAACCTTCAAAAGGACCATCTCCCCCAATCAAAAAAATCAAAATCAAAATAAAAAACAAACGAAAAATTGAACAATTCGAAGCACAAAATCAGGCTTATCATCACATCTATTCAAATCCCGACGAAAAGCTTTTTGCCTCCTCTCTCAAAAGCGAGAATTAAAGAATAAGAGGAACACGAGGAACCCAATTTTGTTTTCTACTGATTCTTCCAAGGTTTTTGATATTCAGTGTCCTTTCAACATCTCAACATATATATATATATATATGTCTATGCTACAGAAAAAAGCTATATATTCCCACATGCATGGTTACTTACTGCTGCACAAGCAGATCAGACACTGCAAGTGTGCAAAAGATTGACAACTTTTTCTCTTGCTTTTACAGATTACACAGCAAATTACCCAGTGATTCAACATCATCATCAGCTGAACATTGCTTTTGAGTCGCCCAAAGAAATGTAACTTACTGCTACTAAAGCTGAAAGACTTATTATATACTTTTGCTAGCTAGCTTCTTGTTTGTTTTATAGTCAAGGGGGACCATCTTTGTATACTTGGCCACTCATATATATATATATATATATATCCTTCTTTTAAGCTATCTATCCTAGCTAGCTGGCCAGCTTTTGCCTGCTTAGATTTTTAACTACTTACTGCTGCACAAGCAGATCAGACACTGCAAGTGTGCAAAAGATTGACAACTTTTTCTCTTGCTTTTACAGATTACACAGCAAATTACCCAGTGATTCAACATCATCATCAGCTGAACATTGCTTTTGAGTCGCCCAAAGAAATGTAACTTACTGCTACTAAAGCTGAAAGACTTATTATATACTTTTGCTAGCTAGCTTCTTGTTTGTTTTATAGTCAAGGGGGACCATCTTTGTATACTTGGCCACTCATATATATATATATATATATATCCTTCTTTTAAGCTATCTATCCTAGCTAGCTGGCCAGCTTTTGCCTGCTTAGATTTTTAACTATTGGGTTTTTCCGCATATCGAGAGTATGTCTGTGTGTATACGTAGATATACATATATTATATTAAATATGTTCCTCAAACTGCAAAGGACTCAATAAAAGTTGCAGTTTTTTCTTCTTTCTTTTTTCAGTTTCTTGATGCTAATTTTCATTTGGAAAAAGACATGCCTCGTTTAGGTTCAACTCGTTTATTAAGCTGTGTTCAATATATATTCGCACCTAGCTTCTACATTGATGGATTTCAAAGTTGCCACTAATTTCTTCATGGCTGTTCTTGATGGATTCTCGAAAGCTTGATAACCCCTCAGTTCAAAGACGTACACCATGGTTTCACAAGACTCAACCCAGAATCAAGCTCAACAGTTCCTGCATCAGTTCATTCTCTCAGATATTATTTCTGGGCAAAACCAGCATTTTGATGATGCCTACGAGTCTTCTGCAAATTTAAGAAGCAGTAACACATTGATTTCTCACTCTCTACCTCTCCTGCCAAGCATACATTCTCTTGGAGACACAATGTCTAGATCAATTAACATTGTTCATGGTAATCAGGATCAACTGACGAGATTAATAATCACTCAACACACTTAATGGACTTGCTTGGATCAGGGAATCAAAACTCATCGATCTCCTCACCAGCCTTCCCTATCTCTCGCGGCTTCTCACATATTTATTCAGTCAACTCCACGCAAGCGCTTTCCTTGCTACTTTCTGTCTGGGGAACATAGATCAGAAACTTGTAATCTAAGAGTCCAGCACACAAGTGATCATGAAGCAGGTAGCTCCTATGCTTCTGCTTCTTCTTCAACCCCACTGAATCGATCCTATTCAACACAGTCTTTTCCCACCGCTGTTGGGCATTCAAAATATCTAAAACCAGTTCAGTCTCTTCTACAAGAAGTTGTTAACGTTGCTGGGGAAGACATAGATTACAGAAGTAATGAGAAGTTTACAGGAAGCAAGTTGTATGGAACTGAAAGCAGTAAAGGGGGTATTCGGTTGTCTTCTGAGTGTCTAAAAGCTGAATTTGCAGCCGAGAAACATCAACTTGAGATCAAAATTGTAAAGCAGCTCGTTGCGCTATTAGAGGAGGTTAGTGTATATACATTAACTAGTTTAAATTTTTTTAGGATAAATCCATACATATTACTAAGTTATGTGATGCTGCACACCAATCATAATACAAATTCGTAATAATGGCGCACGGAATGGAAAATTTAATACTCAAACTTACATTGTCTTAATTATGTACCAATAATTTAGTCAAAAGAATAGTGGCAAGCCAATGATGGGTAGATGAAATTTAATCATCAGCCGTTTCTGGTTCAGGTTGAAGAGAGACGGGAGAAATACTTGCACGAGATGGAAGAGGTGGTATCATCATTTGAAATAGTAGCAGGTTCAGGAGCAGCAAAGCCTTACATTGCTTTAGCGCTGCAAGCCATGTCTAAGCATTTTACCAGTTTAAGAGATGCAATAGTGTGTGAAATAAATATCAGGAGAAGACAATTTTCACACGACTTACCCAGACATATGAATGCAAGTTTTACCCAACTTAGCTTGTCTGACGGAGATGCCTACAGACACAGCCTTCAACAGCTAGTAATGCTGCAAAGCCAAGGCCAAGCTTGGCGACCAATCAGAGGCTTGCCAGAGACATCAGTCGCAATCCTCCGTTCTTGGCTCTTCGAACATTTCCTCCACCCGTAAGTCTTTTTCCAATCCGATCAAAGTCTGATTATCTATATCCGAACTAGATGATTCACAAAGAAAATTCTCGTAATCTCGTTCTATAAGAATTGAATTCTCTAAAACTCATGCGAAATGGCCTCTTGAGAATTGTTCTTGACAATCTTCTGCATATACATACATACGCATACGGCAAAAATTAAATGTATATTTTTGTTGGGTTCTCAAATTAATTTACAGTTACCCCAATGACTCTGAGAAGCTTATGTTGGCATCACAGGCAGGCCTTACCAAGACTCAAGTAAATCTTCTAATTAATGATCGTATTTGTTTTAAAGCAAATTATCTGTGCAAGTGAATTAAGTAGTGAGCTATGTCATGAGCAGGTTTCAAATTGGTTCATAAATGCTAGAGTTAGGCTGTGGAAGCCTATGATTGAAGAAATGTACAGAGAGGAGTTTGCAGGATCATCACAAGACTCCAATCCTTCATTTTAGAAATTAAGTTTCACGGATCATTCTGAAGTAATTTCAAGTGCAGCCAAACAATCCCTTTCATGCTTCGTCCTCGCTCCTTGTTTCCCTAGGTAGCTACATGAGGAAAAAAAAAAAAAAATACATATATATATATATATATTAACAGACTGAATCCTCAATTCCATTAACATGTATGTGGAGAAGTTGGTCTTATCTTTCAACTCCTAAGGCTATAATTTGCAAGATATACTTTACGACTATGATTTGAAAAATAAGAGTGCTGATTTAAATATTTTTGTTTTATAAGTTAAAGAAGAAAATCAATTGGTTAAAGAAA